AATTAGATCACCCAACCGTTTTTTTAGATAATGACCACTGGCCATAAGCATTGCTTGCACATCCTGCGCTTCATTGCTTCATTGATGCCCGCAGCAAGTAAGTATGCCACGGGCATTTCTATTCATATTTATTCTGCGATACACCGATGTGCAGGTATATGTGTTTATATTTATATATACTATACTGCACTGCACTGCACTGCACTGTGCGTGTTAGCGTGGTTTGGGCTCAGGTCATGGAAGGCAAGGCGCCGAATGGCCTGGATTTGAAGATGCTTGCAGTGTTTGTTGCAACTTTGGATGCTGGTTTGCACACGTGCCAAACCAGTTTAGTTTGATTCATTCTGACCGCACTTTGTCGAACAGAATGGGGCAGTAACTGAGGAGCACTTGATCCATGGAGACCAGCGAGAACGCTTGAAGCAAGCATGGCTAATACATGGCCTAAAGCCAGATGATGCAACAAGCCCTGAAGGCAGGGCGCATGTTACTGCAAGCAGGAAGTCGTGCTTCTTTGGAGGGGTTCGTTTGTCCTAGCCTGTGGTTCTTGCAGGGCTTGTGACAGTTCTTGAGGCAGGGGCCGCATGCAGACAGACAGTAGGGGAAAAACTGAATTGCAGTTGAGCAGGTGTTCATGGCTCACTATGTCTATGTCAGCCAAAAGAATGACAGTGGATATGCGCCCTGAAGCACTTCAAGATAACTAACTATATACTATATAGCATTCCTCTTGCAAGATGCAACACAATGCAAATTCGAGGCACTCACCTCGGAAAAGGCCGCTGAAGAGGTCAAAACCATTTCTCGAATCTATGGAGGCCAAGCAAATCGTCACCCGCTTCAACCATGAATCATTCATGATTCTCATGACTTTTTTGTCCCTTTTGGCCGTCACTTCATGGACTGCCAGGCTGGCCGCAGATCCAAGACTTTATTCAAAAACAGGCTCGGTGGGAAAAAAGCAGGGGAATCACAGCACGAGTGGTAAAGAGGCAACTAGTTTGCCCATCAATGTCCTCCGGACGCCCAAGCATATTGGCATACGGAGCCTAGCGATGATCGGCCGGATGCAATACTGTAATTCCATCACTGGAGTCACACTTGCAGCAAGGATGAGCTCAAATCACGCCTCAGCTCATTTGCGTGAGCTTTCATTCGCCAGATCTTGCAGTTCTGTGCCAGCCCTGCCCATCTATGATCGTCTACGGTTCTATCTCAATCCTTAGCTTCCAGTGGAGCTGACACCGCTCCAATGATGGCCGACCTTTTCACATGCTATGGCGTTGCAAAGGCACTTGGTCCACTTGGTAAAACACACACACACACTGAGATCGCTTGCTTGCACTTGCTCACATCACTTACAGCTGTTGCAAAACTTGAGCAGGCAACAGAAGTGGAACGCCTCTTAAGCAACCGCCACCGCCCCTGCAAGACTAGCTGGTGCCCACTACACCGATCGGTTTAGGGCTTGCGAGTTGCCAAATGGGGTGCTGAGCACCAGTACATTCCCAAAGGCACACCTATGTGAGATGGATTCCTTCTCTCACAATGGAAGAGGGTGGATGCCCAGAAGTTCATGGCGAGTCACAAGCTTGAATGGGAAGGTCACTAACATTAGCGAATGCAGGAATCCGACAACACCCAAAATCAATCAAATACGGTTGTCACTGGCGGGCTTTGTTTGTGCAATAGTCGTATAGTTTAGCATGTTTAGCGGGCCTTGGTCATTTTAACGGGCTTTCCCTGAACCGGTGAAACCTGCCTCAGGCTGCAGGAACGGCAGAAGGAATTGTGCGTTGCAGACTTTGGGAAAAGCATACAAGCAGTGCAAATGAGTGAAAAGAGTACTCAAGACTTTTTGAACCCAAAGGTAACGCACGAAACGGAGTAAAAGTCTATGAATGGGGTACGCTGGCAAAGTCTTGCTGCGGGAGCTGCAGCTGCTGGCAAGGTCGCAATTCACCAAAAGAAGAGAGTATCATTTGATGATGCTGCCAATGCAGCCGATGCGGTGCTGCTTGTTTTCCAAGAGGCTCCGAGATGAGACGATGTGGGCCATGTTTGGAACTAGCTCGGAAATGTGGACTTGCGGTTTGTTGAGGTCTCTGGATCAATGTGCCATGAAGCTTGTCTGATTAAGCGTGTTCTTATTCCATGTTCATTGTCCATCTGTTTTTTCTGCTCGTTTGAGGATTATATATCCATCCCAGACAATACGCATTCGTGCAGCCTCGTCTCGATGAGCATATTCACCCAGCAATGACGCATTACGCATTATGATGCTATGTAAGCCCTAGATTTTGCTTGTGAACGTGAAAGATGGTGACCCTTACTATACCCGATTCTCGAAAGAAGTTGCACTACAAATTGGGGGACCTTAAGCCCACTAAAACGCTGAATTCTGTATAAAAGTGGCCCCCAGAAGGCCCGCAGAGACACAGTCTTTTAATAGAAATCATAGTATATAAATACGTTGGTTCAAGTCCTTGCAATCTGCATGGATGAAGCAAAATGAAATTCGACTGTCAGTAGCTTGATGTCCATTCCACACTTTTTACATTGCATATCAATGTATAGTGAAACAACAAACACTTTCTCTATTGTAGTATGTCATCCGCAATACAATGCGTATATATAGCCAATTATTTTGTAGCTTCAGCAGCAATGTTTTCACATGTTATTCCATTCTGTAGTGTTCTTTTGCTTGAAGATCTTGCATATTGCGTTCTAGTTATTTCTGCATGCTGCATGCCTCGAAAATTGCAAGTATAAAAAGACCTGCACGACCCCTGTCAGAGTGGAACAATGAGAGCAGCACAGCAGCGCAAGGTGGCAGCAAACAGCAAAAGCATTGCGGCACACGCACAAAGCGCTTCTTTTCGAGACTTGACGCCTGACTTTTGGAGGAAGTCTCGTACGAAAACGCTCGTTTTGGAGGCTTGACACGTGAGTTTTGGAGAAAGCAAGAGTATCCCACAAGAGTGTCATACAAGAGTCTCCTGCACGAGTGTCCCTCAGCAGTGTTCGTCCCCGCCGCAGGAGTGTCCCACAAGAATGTCCCACAAGAGTGTTGAACAGGAGTGTCCTGCAAGAGTGTCCCACAAATTTCTCCGACAAGTGTCCTCCAAGAGCGCGTGCCCCACAAGAGTGTCGCTCGAGAGTGTCCCATAAGAGCTGTCCACCAAGAGCCTTTCCTACAAGAGTGTCCCACAAGAGTATAAGAGTGTCCCACAAGAGTGTCCCACAACAGTTTTCCGCAAGAGTGTTCCACAAGAGCGCTCCTACAAGAGTGTCTCCTTGAGGGGTTGCCTCAAACATAAGTTCTATTATAAGACGGTGTCCACCCCCCTCCCCACCGACAGTGGAGGGGCCATGATAAATTAGGGAGAAACAATCAATTACACATTGCAAAACCGGCGCGTGGTGCGACTAGTGACCAGGGGTTTCCCATGTCGGCGCCATGCCATGGCAAGTTCACCAGGATATGGAAAAACGGTTCAATCTCTACCTGGAGGGCAAGAGGGCCGCGTTAAATTGAACCACCTCAGATCTGCAGATGGAGGACGGGAAGTGTTCCCGTTATACAAAAATTGATTGTGTTTTGGATTTTTGTTGCATCTTGCACTTGCACAGCCACAGCCACCAAAGGAGACCTGTTCAGAGAATCTGTGGAGTATTTGCGCGAGCTAGGGGCATTGGAAGGACCGTTTGAAAGTGAGCTGGTCTTGATGCCAAATTACATGCTCGGCCCGTCCAATTGCGATGGCACCACCAGCTTCTACGATTTGTGCTGCCCCAACAGTTGCGAAGTCCACAAAAGCCGTCTTGAGCGTGCACTGATGACAGATCAAGGTGATCCATTAAACATCATCACAACTGTTATCCGCGAGCGAAGTGGATTTGACCTGCCCGAGATGCACTTCCAGCTGGAACAGCTAGCGAAGGACACGATTTCCATTGTCATTGTGTCTCCTTGGAAATTTGGGAACTCTGGCACTCGCACTTTCCAAAAATGCCAGGAGCATGGCGGAAAGATCCTCATCCATGGCCAAGCTTTCGCAGATTTGTTGCACATAGTATTTCCTCGTGAATGTCCCAAACCTAGGGCCAGTGACTTCAAAGGCATGACTGGCGCAGTGCCGGATGCCAATGCTGAATTCCAACCAACTACTGCTTTGAAAGCAGATTTGTTTGAATGGTGATCAAGCCACCAATTGTTACTTATATATATATATATGTGTGTGTGTGTGTTTGTTTTTTCGGTTTGGTGCTCGGCCGGAGGCTGCGGCAACTTGCATAGGAACTTAACGGCCCTGCCTTACTGAACAGTCTGGAAGGCCCTTAGGGCCCCATGGCCAGTGGCTGTGTTGAAAGCGCGGCGCAGCATTTTTTGTCGCTTCGATGTTTTCTGGCAGTGCCCTTGCCATGTCACCACACTAACAAAATCTCCACGGTGTGGCCCAAGCGCTGTCATCAGCACATCTCTGCTGTCATCGCTAGAGCTGATCACACTGTCACCACTTCATATTGAAATACCCATCATACAATGCCAACCTTGTACTCTAACAAACTCAAGCTGATTGAGGTTAAACCAAGATGAGCAACAAGAACTGTAGTTTGTGAGAACTGCTGCATGATATTTATATATATACATAATATAGAAAGCTTGATGTATGCTGCTCCGATTCGGTCAGAAGCTGGATGGCGAGAAAATCCAACGCCCGGCGGGTGCAGGCATTTAAATTGTTGCTGCTGGATTCTTGATGCCTTGATGAATTTTGATGCATTCAGAGCCTTGCCTTGAATGGCCATATCGAAGGTTGGTTGGCCGCCCTGGATGTATTGCAGGTGAAGCAAACGCCTAAGGCCTAAGGTGAAAATTGGCTACAGAGACCTCTTGAAAATTGGCAAGAACCAGAGTGGCCGACTGAAACAATAATGTTTAGTTGTTCTTCTTGTCAGTGTGTTTGCATAAAGCCGGGCCTTGACCGTTCCCACCCGGCTCCAGTTTCTAGAGGTGGGGGGGCAGTGGTGACGCCATGGAATGGGAATGTGAAAAGTGCACGCTGCGCAATGAACCAGATGCTTTGAAATGCACATTGTGCGAGGCAGACCGGCCAGAGCACTTTCCGAGCGGAGGGAGCCTTGATACACCCCAGACCCCACAGACTCCGGGCATATTTTTGCCGCCAACAGCCGGAAGAGGGACTGCAGGATCTACGCTTTTGCCTCCGCAGGGTACTCAGAACTTTGGGTCTGGCACACTGCCACCACAAGGCACTCTGAGTCCAAATGCCATGGCTGATTTGATGCCTTCACCGCCAAGCCGTCAACGAGCTCCTCACAGTCCAGAAGCTGAAATGCCTTTCGGAGAGGGATTGCAAAGCTATGGCCAGATGAGTCCGGCAGATTCCAGTGTTGGAAAGAAACCAAAAAAGGCCAAAAAGGCAAAGGATTCAAAGGCTTTGCCAGACAACACTGTTAAGAATGAGCTTGCTTCACAAGATTTGCAGCAAGACCTTGGTCGACAAGTCTTACCTGATTTCATCCAGAAAGAGGAGCATATCCCTACGTACTTCCCTATAGGTGCCAGCCCGGGACCCATGCAAGGCAGTCTGACAGGAAGCAAGGTCCTACTGCGTATTCTGCGCGCCTACGATCTTAGAAATACTGACCTTGGCATTTTGCCCAGCGATGCTTCGGATCCATTTGCCATAGCAAGAATTGGATCGAAAGATGTCAAAACCCATGTAGTCGAAAACAGCCGTGGTCTTAGAATTCCCAAACTCTAGAAACAGGCTCTGATTGATGACGCTGCCTTCAAAATCGTTCACATCACTCTCCTTTTCAGGCTTGAATCCCGTGTGGGATTCGCAATTGTTTGCCTTCCAATTGGCAGAGGATGTGGACCCTGTGCTGAAGTTGGAGGTGTTTGAACCAATTGATGGATACCTTGTTGCAAAGATAGAGGTAACAAGATCATGAAAATGAGTTCTTTGAGAGCAAGGATGCCGGAGATGGTTCTTTCTCCTCACGCAGGTGTTCAGCTCCAATCACTGGCATGCAAACGACAGCTTGGGCCAGCTTGACGTCCCCATAAGGAGCCTTGTCCCGGGTGAAGTTCACACAGCAAGTGCCTCAGAACATGCTTCCACTATTTGCAGACCCCTGGGCTATTACAAGCTTCCATACAAGTTTCAGTGTCTAAGGTTGAAGTCAGTTGAAGGAGGGAGGGAGGGAGGGAGGGAGGGAGGCAGGAAGGAAGGAAGGAAGGAAGAACAATGCAAGGACAGGGCATGCCAAACGAAGCAAGAAAAAGCCACAAATCGGGAAGACAAGGCAAGGAAAGGACAAGGGAAGAGGAACGGGAAGCGGAAGGAAAAGGAAGCAGGAAGGAGAGAAACAGACAAAAGCTCATGTTTTTCTTGCACACTTTGACCTTCGGCCCTTCTGATTTTTTGTGGCTGAGGTGACTTCGATGCTGCATGAAGAAGTTCCTCGCGAGGAGCCCTGTTTCCGCCGGTCCATTCAGTCAAATCAGCAGCGGCACAGTACAAGTGCAAGGACGGTAAGCGCGCTCGAATTCAAATTGAAGTTCAGCTGCTGTGCGACGACCGGCCAAGCGACCAAGTATTGCCAAAACACGTAAACAAATGTAAAAAGATTAGTCTTGCACAGCAGCTGATACTGACTTCAAGCACAGATGCTCGTGTGCAGGTATGGGCCTCCACGTCAGCAGCCGTCCCTCTCACAATCATGCGCTTTGTGTTTTTCAGGATGTGTTTAGTGCACCAGCCTTAGCACCGAGTTGAAGCACCCGGAGACTGTTTGGCCTAGGTTTGCCAAGAAGCCTTTCCAACAATTCGCCCTCACAGAGAAAAAGAAGAAGGAAAATATGGTGCCGGACTCATCGGGCTCATACAGAATTCTTAAGTTTCTTTAGAAGCAGCAGTAGTTTAGTTATATAGTGTTGGCATCACTGCAGTAGTGATATGAGGGCGGTGTCGCCAGTAGCATTTTTTGGTATGCGAGGTGCCATTGCCATCCTTTAAAGGTTCGGCTGGGAGAAACCTACTTACTGGCTGTGCAAGCTATGCAACGCAGGTTAAATCCGAAGCCTTGCAAGTGAGCCTTCATGAGCTTCCATTAACTCTTGTTTGTTGTGATCAGGTTTGGGCCCGGAAGCTGTTGCACGCCCTGCTGAACAACTAAAGCTGGCCGAGGTTGGCGAGGCTGCAAGAATTGATGAGATGAACTATTGAACTATTTGTAAACTGTCCAGATCAACATGGATGAACAGTCTAAGTCTGTGAGAAATATTCTATGCACGCACATGTACATGTGCATGTTCACATAGGACATGCAATAGGAATGCACCTTTAAATGGGCAGCATGAGCAGCCTTGTGGCAGGCACGTCGTGTCAACGAGTATGAATCTTTGGCCATGAGCTCAGCTTATCGGATTCGAGGCGGTGACTATAAAATAGAATGTGTTTTTTAAGTGTAAGTTGCGGCCACTCTAAAATACAAAACAAAAAAGGCCTCCCTGCTAGAACTGGAATGAATTGAAAAAAGTCCGCTTCATTGCACTGGTCCAATTGCTTGCTTTGACCAAGGCCTGCCACCTCGGACAATATGCTGCTCGGCCCAAAAGCAATTGTGAAACCGAACCCTGGAGCCGAGATGAGCCGAGGATTATTCAGGGCCGCCTCCATACTACCCACGACAGGAAATCATCGACAAAAGGCAGTGGAAAGACGATCCCTTCTCAGAATGGCGGCGAGATCTCAACCGAGCGGAGCGCAAAGCAACAGCCCAAGAGGTGAACGATGCGTGGAAGAATGACCCATTCCATTGGATGCGTCCAAGCCAGGGAAATGGAACTGAGGGGAACATTGAACTTCTTCAGGAAGCCCAGGTTGCTCGACATCTCATGTCGTTGCCATCATTCTCTGAAGTCCCTGTGCGAAGGTTCAACGACCATCGGGAGTATGTTCAGAGTGCAAATCAACATGTTGCACATGGCTACCAGCATCCGGAGATTCGTGGTAGAGAGGACATTACGTCCGGGCTTGACCAGTGGAAGGATGATGCTTTCTTCGGCTGGTTGCCCGGACGAGGAGACCAGATGGCAGAGACCAAGTTGCGGCGCCCGCTTCAGCAAGCCCGTTTGGCTCGCTTGCCTTCGTTTGCTGAAGGCTCCAAGGAGCTTGCAGGAGTGACAGGCAGAGGCATTGGTGTCCTGACACTGTGGGTCAATGGAGCAGCACAGTTAGCATACAGTGTTGGTTCCGGTTTGCACGGAACGCCAAGTCCAGCCGTAAAGGTTCCACTCAGAAGTGATCAAGGCACTTCAAGAGCACCACAAGAAAAACTCACGGCGACAATTCCCAAGGATAGCAATCCCAAGTGGAACTCGCCACCAATGACGTTTGAAATCAACTCGCTCATGGATGTGTTGGAGCTTAACGTGCTGGATTGGGCAAATCCACGGGGAGAAGAGCATCTTTCTCAACATTTCTTGGGGCGCACCCAGATGCAGATCCAAAGAATAGTTGAAGCTTTGCACAGAGCCAAGAATCCAACGAAACGGCAGGTACCTTAGTAGTCCTTAGTAGCAGAGGCAGGACCGCCTTTCGGTTGCAACCACCTTTTGCAGCTTTGCTTTCCGAGGTTGCCGTTCCGTGAGCCTTTGGACGGATCTCCAAACCAAGCCTTGATTGACTTCGATTGCCTCTACGAGTCGTACGACACAGAGGTCCAATCGCCCGCTTGGCGGCAAGCAGAGCCAGGTCAGCTTAGCTGGCAGTCTTTGCCAAAGAGCCGATACAATTCACAGAGCCGCGACCGAGATGGACGCGAGGGCCATGGAATTCTCTCTGTGCGTGTCATTGCCGCGTACAACTTGATCAATACTGACACTGGCTTTTTTGGGGACGTCTCAGATCCCTATGTAACTATACGCTTGGAGAGCCAAAGCGAGAAGCAGCAAAAGCGCACACACACAATCAACAACGACTTGAACCCCAGATGGAACACATCGCCTTTTCTTTTTCCAATCGAGCGCCTGGACCAGCAGTTGCATTTTTGCCCAAACAGTTTACCGTTGGGCCATTGGGTTCTCTCTTAGGAAGAATTGCTTTGGCCGCAGTTTCTGGCCGCGCCCCTGAACCGTGTGTCCGGGTGTTGTCCTCCTGTTGTCCTCTTTTGGTCCTACTCGTCCTCGTGCTGCCTGTGTCCTCCTTTTGTCCTTGTGCTGCGCTCGCAAACCCTGTGTCCTCCTTTTGTCCTCCTGCTGTTCTCTCTTGGTGTCCTCCTGCCCATGCTGGCGATTCCTCCTGGTGTCCTGTTTTCTTCTCCTTGTGTAGACCTTCTCCGGGTTTGTTTGTCCTGCTTTTCCATGTCGTGGGCCCTTGTTTTCACCTCTTTGTCCGAGCCTTGTCCCGCTTTCCCTTTCTCCACCGCCTTGTTTGGCTATGTTTTTGTGTGGCTATGAATGCAACAGTGATACAGCGTTTCGAATTTGATATCATCCTCGATTTTCTCATGACGTAAACCACTCCATTTTTGCACATGTGACCCATGAATCAGGAACTATTGAACTAGTGTTGTCAGTCATTGTTTGCTTACATGCTGTTCCAAAACACCTGGAGTCTGTACGGATATATATAATCACCGACATTACCACCAACATTGGAATTCAAGGAGTTGACGCAAAAAATGAAACTGTTTGGGGTTTATGCTGGCATAATTGATTGGAATAGTTTTGGTATGTTTGGGTTTGATGTCAGGAATTCATGAGAATTTAGCAGATTAGCAGTTTTTAATTTTGATTGGACAGCTTCTCCAGATCTCCTTCCAAAAAGCTTCATTCCAAGGATGGCCGAGGATCAGCTACTCCTGGAAGTTTGGGATGAAGACATGATGCAGTCATCAGACTTTCTCGGTCGGATGAAAATACCGCTGTACAAGATTGTTCATGGGCGAGCCAACCAACCCATTCTAGTGCGAGACCAGTTGCAGGACAACCGGAGTACTGTATTTGTTTCTTCTTTGTGTTACCCAGCGGTTTGATGTGTTTTGTTTGTTCGGTGTATTTTCTGATGTGCTTGAGTCAGACAGGATATTCAATCGGGCGAGTTGGAAGTTGAGATTGGTTTCTCTCCGGGCTAAGTTCATTTCGGGCTGTTTCTGCAGCAGCAGCCAATGCACACCATGCCTTCGCTGTACATATCAGCATGTTGGCGTTGGGGCGAATAACAAGTTTCGACCCAGCTTGAGGAATGAACAAAGAAACTTCGCGCCTAATTAAATGCCCGGAGGTGGCGGCAGTTGCATGCCAGTCGGATGCCTTCCATCGTGCTTGACAACAGAAGGTCATGTCCGTTCCTTTCTTTGCACCCAGGTATCTCCAGCAGAGAAGTCTTGGGCGCGTGCGTGGAGCATTTGTGCCGATGGCTCGGCTCGGATCACTTGGGGGCAAATTACATTGCACTGTTCCCTGCACAGGCTGCCATCACTCGTTTTCAGCATAGAAGGCGCAAGGGCTTCAACGGACGCAGTAGCCAGTACTCAACCCAAGGAGTGAGGTTGGGCACTTGCACCTGAAAGATTACGTCATGTCCAGCTGACCCGGGGACAACGAAAAGAGAAGTGCCAAGACATCTAAGTTCCAACCGCCGCTGTGTCATAGAATTTCAACACAGAAAAAAACACTTTGAGTGCGCCAACTGCGTTTCAATAGTAGGACACTCCGCTATTTACACATATATAGTCATAATATGTTATAAAACTGCATGCATGTAGACTGCAATGTGTGCGTTTGTTCAATTTCTCCACTTTAAGTATGAGCGATTTTGGCATGGTTCCATACTTCACTTGTTTTCTCGATGGCTTGGTGTTCATTGATGACATGCTGCACACCGGCAAAGGTGCGAATAACTCTTGTGAGAGACTTGTGCAGCTCCTTGGGGCACGAGTTCTCCCCGCTAGGAACCTCCTAGAGAATGCCTTAACCAACTAGCAACTATACCCTAGTCCTACTTGCTCATTATCCACCATCCTCGTAACCATTAATCAAGAACACTCTCTCCGGTCTACCTGATCCAACAAGGATCTTTGCGATAATGAGTAGTAGTGCTTGCCAGTCCGTTTCACGTCACCAGAAGCTACAGCTTAACAAAGAAGGCTCAAGAACGGCCATATGCGAAGTGTGCAGTTGTGAAATGGGAAGGTCCACAGCTCACAGGAGCGTAGCGGACCCACAGCACCAGTGGTGAACTGAAACAACAAATCACAGAGAATCACAAAGCACTCTTTATTGTTGAATTTGTTTGTCATGAAATGTGCAGTGTTACCGGAGGCAGGCAAGCACTGCAGCAATAACTTGCTTTGCCTGCAGAATTTCCGTGCACATAGCGCAGCCCTGAGAACGATTGCATGTTCATGTGGAAAGGCTGCTGTGAGTTGAGAGTTGTGGGGGTTGCCCGATGCATGTTGACGCGTTACGCTTTTTTTTGGTAATCACTTCCCTAGCGTGGGCCCGACTCTTACCAGTAGTGCGGCTGTGTCAAGCAGAACCTCGGGAGCTGTTGCAACGCCATGCATGTTCTTCGTTGTGGATGTTTTCCGGGAAGGTTTTTCTGGCACTATCTCCTTTGCTTCCTTCATTGATGGTTCAGTTAAGTCTGTACAAGTGCGCACATGACTCATGCAGTTGTTTTGCTTTGTTCAGCTTTACTTGGTTGGTGCTCCTTGCGGGCTTTTGGCAGCCTTGAGTGGCATGGCGCCCCTACCAAGAGCACGTGCATAAGTTCGGTGCTGGGCCGTGCTCAAAGCCTGGAGGGGCAGCTTGTGATCATGCCTTTCGTTGTTGATGAGGGCCAACAGCTACATGTGAGAGTGCTCGCGTAGTAGTGCTTCAGTGGTTCGCCCGTAGTTTGTCAGCCCTGGCATTTGCAAGATGCCGCGTGCTTATTGCGATGGACTGCGCTATACCACCCATTGGTGACTTGTCTCCAATGCCAGTGTTATCAAGAGAAGGTGGATCTCAGGCGGGCATCCCGCTGACCAGCTGTGATTCCACTGGAAATGCGAATGCAAGCCCTGCGCAGTTGGACACATGGACTGACATTAATTCTCCCTTAGCTCCTCGTGCATTCAGTTGAATCTCTTCAGAGGCACTTTTGACCGCACTATTCTTGAGCTGAGAAGGCTGCAAATGAGACTTTGTTTGGACACTGGGACCGACATCTTTGTTGCTGCTGGGAACTTGACGTGGCCGCCTTGAATCCAATGGCTCGGTGTTCTTTTGCGCACCCCTGGCATGTACATATGCTGTCAGCGGCTTCGGCAGGTCTTACGTCTTACAACAGATCGGATACATTTCGGCTTTGCTTCGCGGTCTCTAGAGAATCACTCCAGACTGCGCTTCTTCTGTCTGTAACATACAGGGTCGGATCTTTATGTTAATGGATTGGCGGTCATTGTAACAATGTAATGAGGTAGACAGCACTTGAGAAACAAGAAGAATGTATACGCCACAGTCCCCTGCACCAGCATCAGCACGGCAGCAGCGCCCGCAAAACCAAAACGGCGATCCAGAGTCACACCATTTAGAAGTTAAACCCCTATAGCCTGCAGCTATCTGGAGAATAAAGCATCCCGAATTACATTACAAAGTTATTTCTAAAGCACAATATTCTTAACAACACTACTGTTACGTACAAAACGTTGGTTTGTCATATTAGAATTAAAAGAATTAAAATAACACCAGCATAGACCCAGGTAGCCAGGCAGAATCCCACGACCTGTTGACATGTGACTGGCTGGAACAAAAATAGAATGTACGCAGCCTGCACAGTTAGCTTACGGCACCTCCACAGCGCGCACAATCAGCTGACACCAGCGCCAGTGCGCTTTGCCAGCTGACACCAGCACCGGTGCGCTTTGCCAGATGACCACACCGGCAGCGGCGCCAGCACCCGACCAGCGCCGCCGCCCGTCTTAAACGCGCGCTCAGCCAGCTCACAGCACCAGCAGCCATGACTACAACACCAGCACCAACACCATCACCCTTTCGAAAGCACGCGCAGCCAGCTCAATCTTTTTTGCAGCAAGAACCCCATAGCTATCCCTGTTTGGGGAATAACAACGTATGATCTTGCGCGTAAAAGTTTATGCGCGCAAAAGTATCTGCGCAAACAGCAAAGCCCGTAAGAGTCATTGGCCCAAGGCCAAGCAGTATCCAGCGCCACTATTGACTTAGTAGCATGCTTGAAGCAACGATCTGCAGAACGATAAGGCGTTAAGCAGTCTTGTGTATATTGTGTATGTAGCATGCTGAAACACGCTGAAACAATGGTCGGTTGAGAGCCTCACGTTGCGCATAGAACATTGTACGTACAAAATAAGTATGGGCGCAAACAGCACAGCCTTTGACACAGCTGTCGGCCAAAACAGAACCTGAAGAGTGTAAATACCCCAGAGCGCCAATAGACAAAGATCGCTCAAGCGACAACACCGTATGATGATGTTGCGTGCATAAGTTCATGCGGCCCATGACTGCTGGCACTTCATTGTCAGAAGTGGCGCTTGGTCGCCCTTCACTGGTGCAAGCGGCGGTTTGTTACCCTTCACTGTCAGAAGCGGCGGTTGGTATCACTTCACTGTCAGAAGCAGGCACCAGCACCGAGCACCGGCACGCCAGCTCACGGCGCGCAGCGCCAGCACGCAGCACCAGTATACCCAGCACCCAGCACCAGCACCCGGCGCCCACCCAAACCCAGCACCCGGCGCCCTGTCTCCACGACACGCACAGCCACGCCCAGCACCGGCGCCCAGTCTCCACCACGCGCACGCGTACTGCACCGGCGCCGGCGCCCGGCGCACCAGCAACCTGTCTCCGCCACGTGCACAGCCAGCTCACAGCACCAGCGCCAGCACCCCCGGCACCCAGCACCAGCACCAGCGCCCGGCACCAGCGCCAGCAAGTTTCCACCACGCGCGCAGCCGGCTCACAGCACCCGGCACAGCACCAGCACCAGCACCGGCACCAGCAACCTGTCTCCGCCACGTGCACAGCAGCAACCTGTCTCCACCGTGCACAGCCAGCTCACAGCACCGGCACCCGGCACCCAGCACCAGCACCGCCACCCGGCACCCAGCACCAGCACCACCAACCTGTCTCCACGGCGCCCGGCACCCGGCACCCAGCACCAGCGCCGGCACCAGCAACCTGTCTCCACCACGTGCACAGCCAGCTCACAGCACCAGCACCAGCAACCTGTATCAAAACCGCGCACGGGCAATTCATTGTTATTTGAAGTAAGAACCCCATAGCTTCGCTATCTGGGGAACAATGTTCCAATATTATGGATATTTATTTCGATTTTAATTCTTACGGATTTCAAACGTACACGTCTTACTTGTATATTGCATGTTAATTCCCCAGATAGCGTGAGCTATTCGGGTTCGTTACTTCAAGTACAGGAAGAGATGCATGTGTGCGCTTTCGAGCCTGTAGTAGTAGTTGCAGTAGTGGTAGTAGTTGTTGTTGGTGCACTAGTAGTAGTTGTAGTAGAATCAGTAGGACTAGTAGCGCTGGTACGAATACTACAAGCGGAGCGGGGCCCGCTCCGTAGAAGGCGCTGCAAGCGTAGTCGTAGCAGTCGCAGTCGCAGTCGTTGTAGTAGTAGTAGTAGTAGCAGCAGCAGTAGTAGTAGTAGTAGTAGTTGTTGTTGTTGTTGGTGGACTAGTAGTAGTTGTAGTAGGACTAGTATCAGTAGGACTAGTAGCGCTGGTACGAATACTACAAGCGGAGCGGGCCCCGCTCCCCTGCGCGAGCTTGGCCATAGTCCCAAGATGCACTGCAATCTTTCAAGGGCTATGGCTGACATTATCTTTTGGAAAGGCAAGATTTTGTGTGACGGCTCAGCAGGAGTCAGGTGATTCCATCTCTTTCAAGCAACGAGGGAAGACGCAGCAAAAAAGAGCTGCTGTGAATGTGATTCTTCGTTTTGGGAGACAACATTGGGCTTGCGTCGCCTCACTGATTCATCGGGCCAACATGATATTTATGGTGAAGGTCAACTCTGTGAGGGCTCAGGGCTCTCCGGGTTCTGTTAGACCTTGTTCTTTTTTCCGGGAATGGTTGAATGATGAAGTGGGAAGGGATGGTGGGAACAGGTGCTTTGATAGGGCACATGCTCTCGCGTGATCAAAGTAGGTTGTGACAGGTTGGTTTTGATTCAAACGCTTGACCCCTTCCTTCTACTGAAACCCAAACAAATCCAATACTAAAGTTGTTGATTTTATTGATG